TCAATGGTTGATATTAGGACCGCTTTTGTTCTTTGTATATATCAGTGACAAATTCTTGGATATCAATTCAGCACTTTCATTTTGCACTGATGATAGATCTATCTTTCTTATTGTTGATAACCCTGTTATTGCTGCTTCTTAAATCAGATGTTGATAAGATGAGTAAATTGAGCAGAATCATGGAGGATCAATTTTAATCCAAATAAATCTTAATCTTTGTACACAACAGAACGATCATTCCCTCTTTATGAATAACGTTCAAATATTTGAAATAGCATTTCAGAACCATCTAGGAATAATTTTTTTAAAAGTTGAACATTTACAGAACACTTAATAGAAGATTAAACTATTAGGGAAATTGTAATACTTGTTATGATTTTACTGGTGGGCTTTACTGGCGAATATAGCATTTATGTAGTGTATATAATCCTCGGCTCCCCCGTTAAGTCTTTTATGTCTCACTCGGGCTAGATGCCAGAATGCCTCTATTACCCCATAAGTCAAATTAAGTATAGAAATTAATTGGTGCCTTCATTAGACGTGGCATTATATTCCGTTTTAAGTTATTCATTTATTGTTATAAGACACACAAAAGCTTAGGAATAGTTGAGGAAAATAATATAAACCAAGATACAATTTATTATTACATGTACTATAAATTTTGCTCACCAGATTGTCCACTCATTCAGCTAGAAAATGGAGAAATAAAAGGAAATATGTACTACCAATCTTCAATCCTTGAAGTACATTGTAACCCTGGCTACCAAGAGGTTGCGAATGTTTCTCAAATTACGTGTTTGTCGAATGGTTCATGGTCACATAAGCCGGTTTGTAAGAAAAATAATGCTGGAACAGGTACAACTGATGCTGAAACAACTACAACTGATGCTGGAACAAGTACAACTGATGCTGAAACAACTACAAACTGATGCTGAAACAACTACAACTGATGCTGAAACAACTACAACTGATGCTAGAACAACTACAACTGATGCTGAAACAACTACAACTGATGCTGAAACAACTACAACTGATGCTAGAACAACTACAACTGGTGCTGGAACAACTACAACTGGTGCTGAAAACAACTACAACTGATGCTAGAACAACTACAACTGATGCTGAAACAACTACAACTGATGCTGGAACAAGTACAACTGATGCTGGAACAACTACAACTGTTGCTGGAACAACTACAACTGTTGCTGAAACAACTACAACTGATGCTGGAACAACTACAACTGTTGCTGGAACAACTACAACTGATGCTGGAACAAGTACAACTGATGCTGGAACAACTACAACTGATGCTAGAACAATTACAACTGATGCTGAAACAACTACAACTGATGCTGGAACAACTACAACTGATGCTGAAACAACTACAACTTATGCTGGAACAACTACAACTGATGCTAGAACAGTTAAAACTGATGCTGAAACAACTACAACTGATGCTGGAACAACTACAACTGATGCTGAAACAACTACAACTGATGCTGAAACAACTACAACTGCTGCTAGAACAACTATAACTGATGCTGAAACAACTACAACTGATGCTGGAACAAGTACAACTGATGCTGGAACAACTACAACTGATGCTGGAACAAGTACAACTGATGCTGGAACAACTACAACTGATGCTGAAACAACTACAACTTATGCTGGGAACAACTACAACTGATGCTAGAACAGTTTAAAACTGATGCTGAAACAACTACAACTGATGCTGGAACAACTACAACTGATGCTGAAACAACTACAACTGATGCTGAAACAACTACAACTGCTGCTAGAACAACTATAACTGATGCTGAAACAACTACAACTGATGCTGGAACAAGTACAACTGATGCTGGAACAACTACAACTGTTGCTGGAACAACTACAACTGTTGCTGAAACAACTACAACTGATGCTGGAACAACTACAATTGTTGCTGGAACAACTACAACTGATGCTGGAACAAGTTACAATTGATGCTGGAACAACTACAACTGATGCTGAAACAACTACAACTGATGCTGAAACAACTACAACTGATGCTAGAACAACTACAAACTGTTGCTGAAACAACTACAACTGATGCTGGAAGAACTACAATTTTTGCTGGAACAACTACAACTGATGCTGGAACAACTACAACTGATGCTGAAACAACTACAACTGATGCTAGAACAACTATAACTGATGCTGAAACAACTACAACTGATGCTGGAACAAGTACAACTGATGCTGGAACAACTACAACTTGTTGCTGGAACAACTACAACTGTTGCTGAAACAACTACAACTGATGCTGGAACAACTACAATTGTTGCTGGGAACAACTACAACTGATGCTGGAACAACTACAATTGTTGCTAGAACAACTACAACTGATGCTGGAACAAGTACAACTGATGCTGAAACAACTACAACTGATGCTGAAACAACTACAACTGATGCTGAAACAACTACAACTTATGCTGGAACAACTACAACTGATGCTAGAACAGTTAAAACTGATGCTGAAACAACTACAACTGATGCTGGAACAACTACAACTGATGCTGGAACAGTTACAACTGATGCTGGAACTGGTACAACTGATGCTGAAAGAACTTCAACTGATGCTGGAACAACTTCAACTGATGCTGGAACAGTTACAACTGATGCTGGAACTGGTACAACTGATGCTGAAAGCAAACTTCAACTGATGCTGGAACAGTTACAACTGATGCTGGAACTGGTACAACTGGTGCTGGAACAACTACAACTGATGCTGAAACAACTACAACTGATGCTGAAACAACTACAACTGATGCTGGAACTGGTAAAACTGATGCTGAAACAACTACAACTGATGCTGGAACAGTTACAACTGATGCTGAAAACAAGTACAACTGATGCTGGAACAGTTACAACTGATGCTGAAACAACTACAACTGATGTTGAAACAACTACAACTGATGCTGGAACAGTTGCAACTGATGCTGGAACTGGTACAACTGATGCTGAAACAACTACAACTGATGCTGGAACTGGTACAACTGATGCTGAAACAACTACAACTGATGCTGAAACAACTACAACTGATGCTGGAACAACTACAACTGATGCTGAAACAACTACAATTGATGCTGAAACAACTACAACTGATGCTGAAACAACTACAACTGATGCTGGAACAACTACAACTGATGCTGAAAACAACTACAACTGATGCTGAAACAACTACAACTGATGCTGAAACAACTACAACTGATGCTGGAACAGTTTACAACTGATGCTGGAACTGGTACAACTGATGCTGAAAACAACTACAAACTGATGCTGAAACAACTACAACTGATGCTGAACAGTAACAACTGATGCTGGATCTGGTACAACTGATGCTGGAACTGGTACAACTGATGCTGAAACAACTACAACTGATGCTGGAACTGGTACAACTGATGCTGAAACAACTACAACTGATGCTGAAACAAGTACAACTGATGCTGAAACAACTACAACTGATGCTGGAACAACAACAACTGATGCTGGAACAACTACAACTGATGCTGGAACAAGTACAACTGATGCTGGAACAACAACAACTGATGCTGGAACAACTACAACTGATGCTGGAACAAGTACAACTGATGCTGGAAACTGGTACAACTGATGCTGAAACATCTTCAAACGATGCTGGAACAAACAACAACTGATGCTGAAACAACTACAACTGATGCTGGAACAGTTACAACTGATTGCTGGAACTGGTACAACTGATGCTGAAACATCTACAACTGATGCTGAAACAACTACAACTGATGCTGGAACAGTTACAACTGATGCTGGAACAACTACAACTGATGCTGGAACAACTACAACTGATGCTGGAACAACTACAACTGATGCTGAAACAACTACAATTGATGCTGGAACAGTTACAACTGATGCTGAAACTGGTACAACTGATGCTGAAACAACTACAACTGATGCTGAAAAACTACAACTGATGCTGGAACAGTTACAACTTATGCTGGAACTGGTACAACTGATGCTGAAGCAACTACAACTGATGCTGAAACAACTACAACTGTTGCTGAAACAACTACAACTGATGCTGAAACAACTACAACTGATGCTGGAACAGTAACAACTGATCCTGGAACTGGTACAACTGATGCTGAAACAACTACAACTGATGCCTGGAACAACTACAACTGTTGCTGGAACAACTACAACTGATGCTGGAACAACTACAACTGATGCTGGAACAGTTACAACTGATGCTGGAACTGGTACAACTGATGCTCGAACAACTACAACTGATGCTGAAACAACTACAACTGTTGCTGGAACAAGCACAACTGACGCTGGAACAACTACAACTGATGCTGGAACAACTACAACTGATGCTGGAACAGTAAAACAACTGATGCTGGAACAACCACAACTGATGCTGGAACAACTACAACTGATGCTGGAACAACTACAACTGATGCTGGAACAAGTACAACTGATGCTGGAACTGGTACAACTGATGCTGGAACAAGTACAACTGATGCTGGAACAACTACAAACTGATGCTGAAACAACTACAACTGATGCTGAAACAACTACAACTGATGCTGGAACAAGTACAACTGATGCTGGAACAAGTACAACTGATGCTGGAACAAGTACAACTGATGCTGGAACAAGTACAACTGACGCTGGAACAACTACAACTGATGCTGGAACAACTACAACTGATGCTGGAACAGTTACAACTGATGCTCGAACAACTACAACTGATGCTGAAACAACTACAACTGATGCTGGAACAACTAAAACTGATGCTGGAACAACTACAACTGGTGCTGGAACAACTGCAACTGATGCTGGAACAACTACAATTGGTGCTGGAACACTTACAACTGATGCTAGAACAACTACAACTGATGCTGGAGCAACTACAACTGATGCTAGAACAACTACAACTGGTGCAAATGGTGATGAAACAGGTATAAATGATGATGGTTCAGGTACAACTGGTGATGGAACAGGTACAAACGGTGATCGAACATATACAAATGGAGATGGAACAGGTTCAAATGATGATAGTTCAGGTACAACTGGTGATAGAACAGGTACAAATGGTGATGGAACAGGTATTACAGATGTTGGAACAGGTACACCTGGTGATGGAACAGATACAAATGATGGTGGAACAGGTAGAACTGGTGACGGAACTGGTGCAACTGGTGATGGAACAGGTACACATTATGATGGAACAGGTACAAATGGTGATGGAACAGGTATAAATGGTGATGGAACAGGTACAAATGATGGTGGAACAGGTACAAATGATGATGGTTCAGGTACCACTGGTGATGGAACAGGTATTAATGGTGATGGAACAAGTATAACTGATGATGAAACCGGTACACCTGGTGATGGAACAGGTACAAATAATAATGGAACAGGTACAAATGATGGTGGAACAGGTACAAATGATGGTGGAACAGGTACAAATGGTGGTGGGACAGGTACAACTGATGAAGGAACAGGTACAACTGGTAATGGAACAGGCACAAATGGTGGAGCAGGTTAGTACACTGTATAATTCAATAAACTTAAATTTGTTCAATCACATGACATCGCTCGTTTTGTATGTTATATGGCCATTATCTCTATAAGACACGTGCAATATACTATAGTAATATAGTCGTAAAAAGCATTTGTTAAACGTCCGAACAAGTAATTTCTCATGAATATAGTGCATTTGTCATGTCATTTGCCAAAGACTCGCTCATTAACACTTTCTTAAACTCTTTAAATATTTTTGCAATTTGATATGACAACTAATGAATGTTTCTTTATACGTGTAAAATGTAGTTTAAATTATAATCTTTTATACGAATTCACGTAATAAGAGATGTACTTACCTTGATATAATGAAGTGATTGTACAATTGCTCCTTTGAATCCCCTCTAACTAGGCGTGATACTTCTAAATAACGTCTGCCAAAGCCAAAGGGTTTTACAACATTTTCAAATATGTACATGTACCATGCATTAATATAAATCCGTGATTAAGATATGTGTAAGAACTTCAAATAAACAAGGAAATCAAAATTCAATATTCATATTCTGTATTAAGAAATATAAATAAATTGTCCAATATATTCCCCATTTATGCTAGTGTACTAGATTGTTCGAATTTTATACTCAAAGGCTAGTTATCTTGAAGTCCCTTTATGGAATGAATACGCCTTTAACCGTTCTTCGGTGTCCGTTCTTTTCCGTTTAAGTTTGAGGCCAAAATACTGCATAAATTACGTAACTTTGTGTATATAGATATGAATAACAATAGGTAGCTTTCTAAATATGATTCGATGATTTGGAAGTTGTTTAAAGACATTGAACTATTCGTGATAAACTATTATGAAAAAGATGTGACTAGGTGTAAATACAAGTGTAACATGTTTAGAACGAATTATATGACTTGGGGAAACTTCATACATATGTATATGTATACTTTTTATTTTTGTTAAGCCTTGTTTAGGGGATAAAGCTTAATAAAGCAGATCACGGAAGCATGCGCCGTTGTTGTCCGGGGTTTTTTTTATTTATTTTTTTTCGTACTAGCAATTTAGAAGCATGACGAGACCAATTTCCTTGTACGTTAAATTAAATGAAAAAACGCGGAGCACGAGGATTAGGGGTCATGATTAACCCTGGGAATGACTCCCCTGTAAAAAAAAGAGATTTATCAGCCCTCTCATAGGGAATGAACCTTTATAGAAATTTAGCGAACCTTCTAGTAAAAGGATCCCGATTCGAGCAAGCATTTAAAGGCTATAGCATGTTTTTTGCACAAAAAATTACACTACCCTATTTTTGCATGTGTTGTTCGGCATTCCGTTATTTGTTTTATATAATTATGAAGAAACATGCTTTTGTATAATTATGTAAAGTGTGATATCATTTGACAATAACGTCCTGATGATAAAAAAATTGTCATTGTAGTAAGAAGTTTTCACATAGCGCCTTGAGTTAAGTATATTAAACTCAGTGCAACAACGGCGCAAGCTCGCGTGATTTTAAACATTTTTGCAGTTATAATTTAAAAATATAAATATTTAATGCATGCCTCATGAACATTATTTATTTCATAAATAAAAATTAATCATTTTATTCATGGTTTTGTAGCACAGAAAACGATGAATCTAGGTGATTCCTGTGAAAGAGTGCCTTGCAACGACGATAATTCAATATGCATAGACGATAAGTGTTACTGCAACCCATATTACAGATACGATTCTACACAGAAGGTCTGCGTCAAAGGTATGATCAATTCGTAATGAGGAATACAGTTTCATATCGATATTAATTTATATTTTGAATGTCACTTTATGAATCAATTCTTATATGAAATTTTCATTAATTCATAGAAATCCATATTAGTAAAAAGTGAACTCTCCGAGGATTCCACTTAAATTCACCATTCCCAATTTAGCGTTGTTTATTCGGACTTTCGTTTTTCGCTTCTCCTTCTGTGTGTCTGGTGTCAGTTTGTCACAATATAAAAGGAGCATAAAACCTTAACTATTTAAACCTTTATATTATCATGCAGTTGCATCTCACATAGAAGACGCGGAGTGCCAAAGAATCATAACTTCCATTGAAATATTTGGAGCAATTTCTATTTGAAATTTCTATGGTCCCGGTAAACCAACAAATTAATGACTACATAATGGACACACTTGCGTACCAATACAATACAATTCAATAGAATACTAATCAATACAAGTTACATAAATATTTTATTCAGACCATTTCACATTATCAGCGATTGATTATTCGACAGTTTGATAGTTATACTTTTGAAATATATAGCTAATTCACCTCCATAACAACTTGACAGTAAAAAATAAGCATAATGTCACTTTAATTTTACAGATATTATTATAGTATAGTGCGATAGAACTCTCTATTGTTGATTTTGAGTTTTTTAACTTTAACAAATACCAAATACATCGAAAGGAAACGTTTGATATTTCGCTAATATCTTTCAGCATCAAACTGCAAACACTAGATACATGTTATACACATGTCTTGCTGAAAAATATAAGGCCCTTTTCATATCTTCCGAATATATATATTCCGAACAAATTTGATGATGACTGATCTAGATAAATTGTACAATATATGAATTACATAACGTGTGTGGCATTATATATGAAACATGCATGCATATGCCTCACAATATCAAATGCATGATTGCACTTCATCATAATTATTTAGGGAGTACAATCTCTCAAAATTGAGCATAACGACATATGCAGCTCCCCATAGTCAGGCGTTGACAAATAAAGCTCTCCGAACGAAATGTATATATTTGAGGGTCATTTAATAAGTTCTGATAATCTCCCAATAACGTTTTTGTCTTTCATTTTAATATGATGAAACTATGTATGATTGAAAAAAACAATTATTGAGCTACTAACTTATGTAGAACACGTTCTCATACGACAAATGACGTCACATATATATGACATCATTTGAACGTCGCTCAAACGTTATGACCGCTGTAAGCCTAGATGAAAATTGTGTATATTTAAAGATAGAGATATTGAGAGGAGAAACAGGGTGGAAATCCAGGAACAGTTATTTTAAACTCGCGGTAAATCTGCTGTTCCATTATAGACAGTGTTTAGATGGATAAGGCTATTAGCAGATGGTAAATTTGATGTTTCCGATAGCCCATATAGCGGACGGCCAGTTGAGGTTACAGACAAGATAGATGTTGAAAAGTTAGGGACCTATTAAATGAAGATCGGCGATTAACATGCAAGGAGATAGCTGAAGCCATGGTATTTCTGTTGGGTCAATTCATACAGTTCTGACAAGTCAGAAGCATATGTGTCTCTTGGGCCCCACAACTGCGCGTGCGCGGAGGATTCTATATGAAAACTGACACATCGTTTTATAATTTGAATGACATCATTATTTTATTTTTAATCTCCCGGAAGTATACCCGATCTAGGTCATGACGATTGGGGTCAGGTCCTTGGTCTAAAACGGAGAGATGATAAAACTTTTTAAGCGGTATAAGTAAATAAATTGTTTAATTACAGATAAGATTTCTATATACGTAATATATTTCAGAGATAAAACGACCCTTATTATAAATGCATCATTTGAGCATGTCATACTGTTCGTTACTTTTCATTTGCATCGTCAGCAAGAGGCGGTATTATCTGATTTTATTGATGCAAAAATAGATATATAAAACAAATTTATTTCTATTTCATTAAACAACGATTAAAACAGATTAATTTTAACCTGAAAAAAAAAATTGTATCGACGATGTTTTCTGTTAGACGTCACTATTGGAAATCCTCTAGTTGTGTAACGAAGCAAATAGGCTTACCACGATGTTATTCATTCGATCCAAGAATGATCAAATCGTGTACAGACATGTCATTATGAAACCTATCTTGCATTCTGATTGGTTCACAGTGACGCATTTTGATTAATTGATAATAAAGTATTTGACTGAATTGCACGAGCGTCTCTCTTTTGATTGTTTCTAAACATCGCATTCTAATAGGTAGTGGACCTTGATACATTACTCTAAAAGCATAGCTGATCAAAGAGGAGGAGGAGGCGTAAGAAATTGTTTAAAAGCGTAAGAATTGTTAATTGATTGTAAAAATACCAAAAATTATGTGAATAGAAAAATAAAGCATATCTCTTCCGATTGAGGTATCTCGTTTATTAGGTTTGACAATTTTCAGAGACACATTGTATATAATTAAAAGTAAACACTCTAAAGAAGATAACTACATTACCACTACAGGTTCGGCAGATTTCAACATCAATTTTCTATGGTTTCATCCGGGCCGAGCGGAAAACCTGAATGGACCTAAAAACTGCTTTTGTCCGATCTAGTACGTCTAGCGCCTGAGAGTAGCATATGATGTTTTCGACAATGGCAAACTTCAACGTAGGTTACACCCGGATCGAATTTGTACACGATTTTCCTGACTATTTAAACGATACCCAATATATCAAACCTGACAAAGGGAATATATTGGTCTTGACGATTTAATGACGGAAGCGAAATGCGACCAAAGGATTGCGGATCTCTTCGCAACGTTGTCATCAAAGAAACATCTCTGTCGTATACTTGACGCAAAATTCGTAACCGCAAAGAAAGGCCTGTGGAGATGTCGCATCAAAAAAGTAGTATCTCGTATTATTATAATGATATTGATAGACAGCAAGTGGCAACGTTGGCAAGAAAAATTTATCCCTCATCCCATGCCATTTTTACGAAACGCTTAAAAAACGCAACGTCTAGACCGCATGGCTATTCGGTGGTAGACATAAAATCGTGTACCACGGAACAGGACCGTTTGCGCGAAAATGTATTTGAGATACAAAGTCTGGCTACTACAAACAGAAACTAACGGATAATGATGATGATTATGATCATGATGTGAATGAAAAAGAGCAATTAGAGGGTGGTGTTAAGAGACAATGTTTTCTTTATGGGGCCTCCTGGTAAGCGCATGAAAGAAAAGCTCAAAGAAGAACGTA